TTCATTGACCGTGTTACAGAGCGGGCAGACAGTGGGCACAAACCTGTGGACACATTTCTCACACTCAACACTCGAGCGGCTTTTCTGCGCTTTATGAGAGTGTGCTCTGTGAGTGACACGGAACGTGTTGTGCTTGTGTGTAGGGGTGAACACTGGGGCGTGGGCACTTTCACTACACTTAAGACACCAACGGCACTATACTCTTTTGAGATTTCTCTGGGTCGCCGTGAAGACGGCGTATGTGTGCAGGCGAGAGGGTAAATGAACCGGCTCGTTGGCTGCTAAATGGACCACTGCAGTAGCCTGTTTGAAGGGGACTGACAGGGAAATAAACTTTGACGGCGGTCCGGCCGCAGCGGGACACGCGCGTCTTTCTCTCTCATAGTTTGATATGAGTCTTTAGTGATAGAGCGGGCAGAAAAATAGGCATGGGCACGAACTCGTGGACACATATCCTACGTTCAACACTCGAGCGGTTTCCCGCTTTAAGGGAGTGGGCTCTGTTCTGTGAATAACACGGGAAGTGTTGTGCTTGTGTGTAGGGGTGAACACCGAGATGTGGGCACCTTTCTACACTAAAAAACACCATCGGCGTGAGCCGGATCCGAAAACGGCGGCTTGCTGAGGAGAGCCGCATAAATTTTATCTGCTGCGGGAGCCAGGATCGAACACGGGTCTCTGGCGCGAAAGCTTAAGGTTTAGCCACTGAGCCACATGGGGAAACAACGTAAGCTTTAGTTGGCGCGAGCAGATAAGAGAGAGCGTCATCACAGTTTTCGTGTGCGTGTCGGCATTGTCTGCAGGCGTGCGTGTTATAACAGGCTCTCTACTGCAGTATAGACATTACCAGCCGCTCGAACTAGGAGGAGCTGGAAAATGTTTGAGAAAAAGAGGGGGTTTGTCAAGCCTCGGCGGGACAAAAAACCACTCTTTCCTTCTTTCGCCGGTGACGCATGCGCTCGGGGCGCGCGCTCGCTTTCTGTACGTAAGAAAGCTGGTCGCGCGAGCTGCATAAATTTTATCTGCTGCGAGAGCCGGGATCGAACACGGGTCTCTGGCGCGAAAGCTTAGAGTCTAGCCACTGAGCCACGGGGGAAACAACGTAAGCTTTAGTTGGCGCGAGCAGATAAGAGAGAGAGCGTCATCACAGTTTTCGTGTGCGTGTCGCTCGGGGCGCGCGCTCGCTTTCTGTATGTAAGAAAGCTGGTCGCGAGCTCAGAGAGGAGAGCTGCATAAATTGTATCTGCTGCGAGAGCCGGGATCGAACACGGGTCTCTGGCGCGAAAGCTTAGAGTTTAGCCACTGAGCCACGGGGGAAACAACATAAGCTTAAGTAGCGCGAGCAGATAACAAAGAGCGCGCGCGGCAGCTTCCTTGTAAAGGAAGCTAGCCGCGGTTAGAACAGCAGTCCAGCAGTCCTCGGACGCGACGGCAGTGAGGCTCGTGAGCGGCAGCTGCGCGTCGGTGAAGGGAGGCGGGGAAGGTGAAAAAGCGAGGCTCGAGGGAGGCTTTCCGGCGAGCGCGTCGCTGTGGCTACAGGCTCCGGCTGCCTTTGGGAACGGCGCTTATCACTGCGCGGTCCCACAAAGGGCGGAGTGACTGCTTCTGCGGAGTCGCGGTAGCTTCCTTGTAACGTAAAGGAAGCTAGCCGCGGTTAGAACAGCAGTCCCTTGTGGCGTGTCCCTCAACCTCATCCTCAGACGCGACGGCAGTGAGGCTCGTGAGCGGCAGCTGCGCGTCGGTGAAGAGAGGCGGGGAAGGCGAGAGCGAGGCTCGAGGGAGGTTCTCCGGCGAGCGCGTCGCTGTGGCCACAGGTTCCGGCTGTCCACAGGAAGTGCGAGGCATCTTGAAAAAGACGCTCGCTGCTCTTTTAGGAGTAAGAGAAAAGAGAATACAACAACAATGTAAAAAGGATACGTCGCCGGATAGCGTAGCTCGCACGGATGGCTGAAGGTGGCGAAGACGGCCGGCTTCCTCAGCGCTGTCCTGGCTGGCTGTTCGCTGTCTCGACGGCGACGGTGGCTTCCCTCAATCCAGCGATGCGAAGAGCTCGCTGAAGAGTCGAAAAATCAGGGAATTCAGCCTACGAGCCCCTTCTTTTATACGCTAAGCCACGCCCATTCTGGCGGGCTGTGACGCTATGAAGGCGCGAGCGCCCTTCATTGGGCGTGACGTCACGCCGGGCTCACTGGTAGGCTGCAGCAGTTGCCTGCAGGGCAGCCAATGAGCACGCTAGACTGCCTGCTCTAGGTCTGCTAGCTGCTGCACTGCGTTGACAATGAATACAAAATTAGGATAATTTTTTGGCTTCAATATCTCGAGAAGATGAATCTTTCCGTAGCGTAAGCTAAACTTACGCAATACGAGAGAACCTCTCGTAAGAGAACTCTACAACTGCTTTGCAACCAGGCCAAAAGCTTTGGCTCAGTTTGGCTAAGGAAATGTTATTGGGTACCGTATGGGAAGGAATGAAGATGTATTTCTTCAGTTTATTTTAAATTCTATATTATACTGTATTAATAGTATTTCTACTAGTTACATTAAGGCTAAAGCAGAGTGCTCTTGGTAATATTGTATATCCTGTCAAAACATACATTAGCCTAATCATTGCCATTGCATTTGTATTTTTCAAAGATGTCAGGGAAAAATGCAAAAATATTTGTTTTCCAAACATTTTGGAGCAATTTGTAATATATTTGTAGCCTAATTGTGACGGTATTAGGCCTTACAAGATCAAGTTCGGGCGCCAGGGGTAAAAACCACCACAATTATTTAATTAATCACTCATAAATACTACACATAGAGATGATATTATCAATTAAGAAACAACAGAACAAGGAACCAGAAGTAAAGTCAATTTAATATTTACTAGTCAAGTTCAATTCCAATCATATTGTATTTTCATTCAGCACATCAATACATTCCATTCCAAAAGTAATAACTAGAATGGAAATAAGATTTAATGAACATGTTCTATTAATTTCAGTCCCAGGAACATTTACCTTTTAATTACCTTACAGTAATAAATGAATGACAGATAAATCAAAATAAACAATTCAGCTAATTAAATGCAATGCAATAAATCTTATGCAGAAAGAAATCAAAATACAATAAAGCAACCACATAAGTGAACAAACAAGCAAAAAACAAAAAACGTTTGCTTACCATATCACTCATTGACTACTGGGGCTGAAATACAATTCATTACATCACACACAATATTTACAAAGTAATTCGGCAACTCGAGCGCCAAAAATAAACCCCAAAAGAAAAATCCTTCCTACCACCAAAACCTCCTCAAAACATACTACCTATAATGCCCTGAATCCACATCTAAACACAATATAACCGGATTGGAAACCGCTCTCTCTCAACCACTCCAATTACACGCAAATCACACGCTCCATTTACACGCAAAACTCGCTCTCGAACCAACTTTCCAATTCTTTACGAAATTCAATGAGGGAAACATATTCCTCAAAATATGAATCGCAAAACAGAAAAAGTCCGCAGCATTAATACATCAATGCAGCACGGCCTACAACAACCATACTCACAAGCCGTCTGCTAACGTGACCATGACCGCGAATAACCCACGCCTGACAACAAAGGCGGAAGAGCGAGAGAGAGAGAGAGAGAGCGAAGCGCAATCACACTTCCTTAAAATAACTTCCCACCTGGTTCCCCGAATATACGCATAACAGCGCCATCTCCAGTACGTAATAAGAAAAACATTGACGACTGTCACAAGTAAGTTGGAAGAAAGCTCGCCTAACATGTTTAGACTAGAAGTTCTAGAACATTTAATATATAGCCCATCGTATACATTATTGATGCAGTCAAAAACTCTACAACTGCTTTGCAACCAGGCCAAAAGCTTTGGCTCAGTTTGGCTAAGGAAATGTTATTGGGTACCGTATGGGAAGGAATGAAGATGTATTTCTTCAGTTTATTTTAAATTCTATATTATACTGTATTAATAGTATTTCTACTAGTTACATTAAGGCTAAAGCAGAGTGCTCTTGATAATATTGTATATCCTGTCAAAACATACATTAGCCTAATCATTGCCATTGCATTTGTATTTTTCAAAGATGTCAGGGAAAAATGCAAAAATATTTGTTTTTCCAAACATTTTGGAGCAATTTGTAATATATTTGTAGCCTAATTTTGAAATATAACATTAAAGAGTAGGCCTATATTTGATGTGATGAATTGCTCTGTCATTTATCAGATTTACCAATTGTTATAATTTCAATTGTTGCTGGTTAATTATGAACAATGGGTAAAATTGGGGGCGGGGTGAGGCGGGGGCGGGGCTCCATTTAGGCCCCTCCCCTAACAGCATGTGATCTCACTCCAAGCTTTTGATAAAACTTGAGAACCCTGTATTAAATAAACATAACTATATATAAAATTACATCTAAACGTATTAAAGTTTCGTTTCAAAGACGAGAGGACAGTAAATTTTGAAGACTCTGCCATAATACCGTTTTCCTCGGTTTTCCTCCGCTTTAAATCTCCCCAACCGGAAACGCACGAGCATCCTTGCGTCAAACGCGGAAGTTATGCGTGCATATAGCCCATTACGAGAGAATTTTTAATGGAAAAAAAGTTTTGAGTTATCTCAAAATTATGAGTAACTAATTAATTCAGAAAAACAGAGTGAAAAAAACTTTTTCAAGAAAAATGTAACTCATAATTCTGAGGTATTCCCTCGTTAATTCAGAAAAACAGAGCAAACCCTTTATTTTCCATGAAAAATTATCTCGTAATTCTGATATAATTAACTCGTTAATTCAGAAAAACAGAGTAGATTTTTTTCCTCAAGTGAATGCAATACGCTACCGTAGGTAACAGCACAAAAAGTATGTTGTTAATTTTTTAGGCTTATTTGAAAGAACCTGGACTGGTTGTCTCTTCAAGCGCTTCACACTCCGGTCCTGTGGGTGGCGGAAACGCTCCTCTTTGGTTTGTAGCTAGGAACCTTTGTGTACTGATTATGTGTCTGGAGGAAGCTTTTGTCATCCCTCACATTGTGCTTCCGGCACTTAGTTCTCGCCATGGCGATGACTTTGAATCGAGGGAATATCGCGGGGGTTCTGCGGCTTCTCAGGACCGCTGGAGAGCATTTATCACGAGCCACAACCAAACGTCTGTATGCTTGTATACATCAAGATAAATTGTCAGCAGAAATCTTTTTTGTTGTTATTAATGTCCATGCAATGTGCCATGTGAATTGTTGTTTCTTCAGTTCGTTGTCAGTGTAAACTTTTTCTTTCTTTTTTTTGTGGGAGTAAAAACATTTCAAACGTATTTTAAAGCGAATGTTGACTTTCTGATGTTGAGTTGAGTTGAGCTTATTGTAATTTTCAGAATTATAATGGACAAATGTCAACAACAGTAATATTTCAGTACAACAGTATGATTTGCATCTGATAACACACACACACACACACACACACACTAAAAGGATATCAATATCACTAATGTGGTATAATAGAAGAAAACAGGAGACATTTCTAGTTGATAAAAACAATCATACGTATAACGTTAGATGTGTATATAGCATATGAGGTTAAAGTGTGTAACTTATCTATATCCTGTGTCAATGTTTTCAAGCTGTATAACTGTCTAAATAGTCACTGTAACTTACAGGTGGTTTGGTTCCTGCACTGACCCGCTTTCAAAGCTCGGCAAGCATCATTTATCCTGCAAGGTAAACATCTTCCAGTGTGCATGCCTTTTTAGGTCCCTAAATATGAAACACAGGCCTATTCAACTGGCAGGTCAAATATGACCCATTTGAAATGATGCATTGGAAAATTCTGAATCAAATGTACCATCAGTACCCACTGTAGCCTATTACTGTCAAATTGATTTCTTTGTAATGGTAATATACTTTTATTTTTATATATAAATATATTACTTATGCACTGCTGTTTGCTCTAACAGATACCGGTAACAGGATCATTTAGGGTGATATTATAATCTTAATGACAGCTTTTCATTGACAAAAAAGTCTGGTTTGGTCTGCATTTTGTTTGACTTGTTGAAGGTGAATAGCCCTGACTTGAGATATTTTGATAAATAGCATAATATTCTTCAGGTTGACATGTATCTTATTCGAGTGTAATTAATGTTATGGTATCTTTTGTACTCGGCCATGTTATGTGGTTGTGTTTTGAATGATGCTGTACAGTATGTGCACTACAGTGACATCAGGAGGCCTAACCTAGTGTTGTGCTTTCAGTTATGTACCACCGACATCACTATCCAGACCGCCGTGGCCTGAGCTACCAGTGTTTGATCCTGAAGAAGAGGGTAAAAAGCATCAAGGCGAGTGGGCTGGTCTGAGCTTAACAGTGAAAGTTGAATTTGTTGATTGTTGATGCACATAACACTTGGTTGTTAACTTAAAAAAATGTATCAAAATTGTAAAAAAATTATGGATTCTTCTCATTTATATTCAGAAGTGCAGTGATGCTTTTAATGTATCTTGAGTCTGAAAATTGACTCTTTAAAATGTCCGTAAAGGGTTAGTTCACCCAAAAATAAAAAATTCTGTCATTAATTTCTCACCCTTGTGTCGTTCCAAACCCGTAAGACTTTCGTTTGATCTTCGGAATGCAAATTACGTTTTTTTATGAAATCTGAGAGATTTCTGTCCCTCCATCGACAGCTACGCAACTGAAACTTTTCAAAAAGTTCATTAAGATTGTAAATCTATCTAACCCATGTGAATTAAGTGGTTTATTCCAGATTTTCTGAAGGGACTCGTTCGCTTTATATGAGGAACAGATTGAATTTAGGCTTTTATTCACATATAAACATTGACCAGACAGAAGCTCAACCGTACATGCTTGACACGCGAGAACAAACCTCATTGGTTCTCACACGTCAAGCTATCATGCTTGAGCTTCTGTTTACCACAACTGATGTGCGAGTTATGTTTATATGTGAATAAAAGCCTAAATTCGATCTGTTCATCATAGAAAGTGATCGTGTCTCTTCAGAAAATTCAAACTAAACCACTAAATTCATATGGTGTTAAATGTATTAATGTATGGTATACATGAGGAGCTCTTTTCCAAAACGATTCTTCCAAAACTGTGTTCTGAACCTATTCACTGCTCCATCAATGTTTCATGCCAAATCGCTATATTTCCTTGTTTAAAATGTACTGCAGGATGCAGTTCTTTTCCAAACCGCGATAAGCGCCAAACCTATTTTTAGCCTAAACGCGATCAATCCTCTCTCGACAAATCAGAATTCAGTGAGCGTTCTACGCAATCCAACATCGGCGCGCTGAACAGAGGTTTGTTTATGTTCATTCATTCCTCAAAATGAGTGCTTTAAACGGTGATAACACTTTTGATGGCCTTGATGAGCCAGTGAGACCTACACCTGGGGTAGATGCTGCTGCCAAAGGTTTCTGTTTAGAATTTCTGCCAAAAATGGCATTCGACAATCAAGGAGCAAAAGTCGAATATCGTTCGAAAATCGAAATTTTTATTTTATTTTTATTAATCAACTGTTTTCTGTCTGTCAGTGTCTGCAAAGATGAAATTGACGATCAGCATCTCTGTAGTGAACGCGCCTAGAGAGAAATGCATGTAATGGATTACATAATCAGAGAGTATGCTATTTATTTTCGTTTTTAATTGTTTCGTTTAAAGACATTTCAAGCTTTCTATATAGATTTATTTCTCATGTCTGTGAGGCATTCGCTGAATTTCGGTTAATTTATGATGAGATGCGCACCAGTTCACATGCAATGCAAGTGACCACGCCGGCGCCTCCATGTCATGATTATAGTGTCTATTTTCTTCTTATTTATTAAATCCAGGCAATTGGTTGATGAAAAAATTATTAAAATTAAGATACAATTTATACAAAACGAAATTCACTTTAAAGAAAGGCTTTCTACAAAACAAAACTTAATTAAGTGGCCAAAATCATCCATTTTTGGATTTTTATTTTGTGGATTTGTAGCGTTTTGAAAAAAAAAAATTTACTTTGAATTTATCATCAACAATATTGTTGTTTGATTTAATAATCATTGTTCAACATGTTCAGACTGAAGGGAAAAAAAACATTTTAACAGGCTAAATTGAATATTCACAAAATGTGTGGGTCTAGGTAAAAAAAAAAAATTCCTGAAAACTATTGAAATGGATTTATCGCGTTTTGGAAAAGAGCTCCTCACATGATGATACATTTTTTCCAGGAATCATTAATGAATAGACTGTTCAAAAGAACAGCATTAATTCGAATAGAAATCTTTTGTAAAACATAATAAATGTTTTTACTGTCACCTTTGATCAATTTACAGCATCCTTAATGTATAAAACGATTATTTTCAGAGACCATGATTAAGATGGAATGGGTATAGTTTTTGTGATTTCCATTCATTTCCTCTTCCACCTTATTTTCACAGTGGTGGTAGGAAAGGTAAATGGCCTGATTGAGAATGGTGAGTTTGGACGTTTGTTTGCTGTAGTTCATTTTGCTGGCCATCAGTGGAAGGTGACCAATGAAGACCTGATCCTCATCGAAAACCACATCGATGCAGCATGTGGCGACAGGATAAGAATGGAAAAGGTTCGACCTCGGCTTCACGTTTTCTCATCCGCTCATACGGTCATGCACTGCATTCAGATATTCTTACAGATTTACATGGATTTCTGTGCAGCTTATTGAACTAGAGATGCACAGATTATTATTAGTCTTCCGTTGGACATTCTTTGGATGAAAACCTATTCTAGTAGTCCCTAAAAACAAAATCAAGACTTCGTGACGGGGCATAATATGTCCTCTTTAAATCTACAGTATAAAATCCAAACTAAAATCAAACTTTGACAATTCTTTTACTTGCATTTCTCAGTTGAACCCCACACTTTTTATGGAAGACAACATGCCATTACACCTAAATGTATTTATTTCCTTAATTTTGTTTTTGTTAACTTTCACCTACATGCAACACAGAGTACAATATTTCTATGGTAATCGGATGTTTTCATAGTGCTAATGCTTCTTTTTTGCAGGTGTTATTAGTTGGAGGAAGTGATTTCACTCTTATTGGAAAGCCACTTCTTAGGTAAGATATAAAATGTATTTCTAGTTTGAGTTTGTACAATCAGTCATCTTCTGAGAAATTAAAAATGTACACGGCATATAAACAAACATGTTTGCAGAAATACACTTATCATGAATGTCTATTGAGGAATCATTGCATTCTTGCTAGAAATAACGTTTTTATTTTAAGTACAGTGCTCTCTGCACCTATCTGGTTTTCCGAGTTTTACAAAATTTTTGACATTGTTAATAGTCTGATGTTATTTTGGATTGTGGGTGTATGTAGATATGGTAGAATGGACAGAGTTTGGTGCATTTTTCATTTTCTTGTGTTGATCTTTTTGAGTGCTTTGATAAACCTGCCTAATATAGTCTTTATAATATTACTTCACACAGGGAATTTATAAACTACTGTAATAAATAGAAACAATTGTACTCTGATGTTCAGAAGTTTGGGATCAGTATTCTTTAAAAAAAAAAGAAATTAATACTTTTATTCAGAAAGAACACAATAAACTAATCAAAAGTGTCAGTAACAAAAAAGATTATATTTCAAATAAATACTGTTTTTTTTTTTTTTTTTACATTCTATTTATTAAAGATTCCCGGGGGAGCCACTTAAAGGGACATGGTGGTGGGAACAAAATATTTGCGTTCTTAAGTCCAAGTTCAAAATAAAACTCTATGAACCGCTCCATTGTTGACGTACAGAGCTGTCTGAAACTGCCAGCGGGATATTAAACGGGAAGTGTTTCTCCAAACTCACAAGAACGCAAAAGCTTTGAAAAATATTTTGTCCCTTCCATCCCATATTTTTTACACCACTAAGTCCCGTTAGGGGCTCTGTATGGTTTTGACACAAATATGAAGCCGCACAACTGTTTTCAACATTGATAATAATAAGAAATGTTTCTTGAGCAGTAAATCTGCATATTAGAATGATTTCTGAAGGATCATGTGACACTGAAGACTGGAGTAATGGCTGCTGAAAATTCAGCTTTGCAGCACAGGAATAAATTACTTTTTAAAAATAAATTACAATAAAAAAACAGTTGTATTAAATTGTAACTTTTTTTTTTCTGTATTTTTAATCAAATAAATGCAGTCGTGTTGAGCACGAGAGACTTTTTTCAAAAACATTAACAAATCTTACCAATCCTAAACTTTTGAACAATAGTGAATTTCTTTTATCATTTATAATTTTTTTCTTGAAGGGTCACTTTTATTCATTCATAGGTTTTGGTTGAAGATCTGATGACACTTTTTTCCCACCACTGTACATAACTGCCTAACACATTTTTGTTTTGTTTTTACAAACCGCTCTATTATTTTCTGTGGTAATTAACTGCACGATCCATATTCTCAGTAGGGCTTATGTTGTATTAAACCTGGAACAGGGTTTCTGCGGGTCTTAAAAAGTCTTAATTCGCCCTTCTACAAATTAAGGCCTTAAAAAGGTCTTAAATTATTGCAGAAACTCCCAAATTCATAAAGTCATTGCATTTAATGTTGCATGCACTGCAAAAAAAAAAAATCATATCTTCCTCAGTATTTTTGTCCTGTTTTCCAAAATTAAGATATAAAGTCAGTGGGGTATGAACTTGTTTTCCCTTTGAATTTAGTAGATTTTTCTGAGCCCCTTGGCAGATATTTGTTCTTGTTTTAATCATAAACTCACTTAATTTGGATCAATTTCACAGAAAACAAGACTTCATTTATTATATAATTTAGTATTTTCACTGGAAAACGACAACATTTCTGAAAACATCAAGAACACATTTTTTGCAGCGTTATCAGAAGTTAGAGTTGTTATTTGTTATTTATTACTTTATTTAAAAGTAATTGAGATCAGAAGTTGTATTTTGAAATTGCAGAAACACAACGAGTCGTATTAGCAAAACTCATAGACTTGTACATTTTGACATCTTGTGTTCCCGTCAAGGGATAGTTCACCCGAAAATGAAAATGCTGTCATCATTTACTCTCCCTTAAGTTGTTCCAAACCTGTATGAATTTCTTTCTACTGCTGAATAAAAAATATTTTTTTGAAGAATGTCTGTAACCAAAGCGTTGATGGACCCCATTGACTTCCATTTTGTCCCCCATACTATGGAAGTCAATAGGGTCTTCAAAACATCGTATGTGTTCAGCAGAAGAAAGAAATCCATACAGGTTTGTCGAAGTGTCTGTTGCCCTCTGTCGGTACGGTGTGAATCGGCCTTTACTTGGTCTTAAAAAGGACTTTAACCCTCTGGGGTTCTTCGGGTCAAAAATGACCCGAAGCGTTTAAATGAAAAAATGTAAAAAATCGTAGCTTCATCGGAATGGTCCAAAACTTGGTGACTTTTTTGGTACTTGGTATATGAACACCCAAAAAAATTGGGGACAGGATTTGAAAAGTCTAAGTGGTCGTAAAAAAAATAGTCACACAGGGTCTTCGGGTCTAAAATGACCCGCATAGGAAATGAATGGGAAATTGGCAAAAATATGAAAATACAGAGTTTTTTTGTGCATACAATCTACCAAACAGCCAGGATGCAGAAAAAAAGCACACAACAGTGAAGGGGTGAATCTCTTAAAACAATGGGTGACAAAATGCTTTCCATTTATTCTCTTTATAATGCAATGTTCAGGTTTGACTGTATTATAAAGTAAAACTGCCACTTCAAATTACCATTTAAACCAACCAAAAATTTTTATTTATTTTTTTTAAATTTGAAAAAATGACAAAAATAGTCTTTGAGAATCTGTTATTATATATTCAAATCAACAACCTGAAAAAAATTAAACACTATGTGAAAAAATCACTAGAGTGTTTCTACCATAGGTTTCTACAGAGAGCTGTAAATCCACTAGTGGTAAAAATGTGCTATTGCGTGATAAAAATGCTCAGTGTGTCCACCAGATGGCTCCGATCTCATTTCAAAAATTGCTTTCATGAGGCCTAGACTTGACTCTAAAATAAAATACAGCTTTCATAAAAAATTTTTTTTATTATTATATATATATAAATTTTCTATTATATTCAATGGGAAAAAAATGGGTCTTAATTATTGCATAAATATTAATTATAAATCATAAAATTATCTCAAAACACCAAAAAAGAAAAGAAAAAATATTATTGAACAAAAATATATTTCATTGATTTTACTCAAATAAAATGTATCTTAATGCCGCCCTTGGGGTCATTTTTGACCAAAAGGTCCTGAGTGTGAGTCTAAAATGAAGAACCCCAGAGGGTTAAAAGCTATGAAACCCTGAGGAATATTGAAGTAATGATCACTTCAGATGTCTACACTTGTCACAGTCTTCATCTGTTCTTTTGGTCCTCAGCTGTGATTTAGTTCAAGTTCACGCTACAGTCATTGAGAAGACCGAGTCTTGGCCGATGGTTCACATGAGATTCTGGAAGAGGCATCGATTCCAAAAAAAGAGAAGTATGCAGGGTTTAAAATGCAAAATATTCCCTCAAATAGATTTTTAGTGTATTATTGTTTGATATTTTCACCAGTGCATTAATTCAACTTTTTTCTTCTTTTTTTACAGTCATTATTCAACCCCAGACCATACTTAGGATCAACACCATTGATGTTTTACCAAGACTGTTTTAACCCGTTGCATTTGCAAGTAAAAACATGCCATTTCTTGTTCAGGTTTCACACTTAAGACCATGTAAATAAAGTTTTCAAATTTTGTCTTGAGCAGTGAGTTGCTGCCTATGGTTGTATCTATTGTATGTCACAATAAATGTTTCCGTGTCATAGCATTGGTCCTTGAGTCTATTGAGTGGTTCAGACGTGGCATCATGTAGTGCTGTTACTGTGTGTATTTGATGATCACTTGTGATGGCAAAATTAAGCTTTCTGAAGGAGTGAACAGATTTATTAAAATGTGGTGGATGCCACAGTGAATTTTACACCATTCACGGGTGACTTTTTGTCATTTCTCGGTAAACCTAGAGATGGAAATTAGTCACTATTGTCGTTAAATTTGTTTTATTTTTATTTGTCAATTACATTTGGAGGATTCATTTTTATTTATTTTATTAAATTAAAACAATATTTTGTAAATATTTTTGCGTCTTTCTACTGTGGATTTTGTTTAATTTAAATTTATTTATTATTTTTTTGTTTTGTTTTTTTACAAATATCTTTGTTAACCCAGCATAAATATCAATTCACCATGTTTTTTGTTGTTGTTTAAAATAATAATAATAATAAAAAAATAAGCAGTGTTTGAGCCAGTCAGGCTTGCACAGAAATATACACAGAATTAGGGGATAATATTAACAACAGATTAAATATATTTAGAAGTACTTCATGGTATATCTAAATAAACCCAGTGATATACAAGCGTGTCTTGTTGAACAAGTCTTTAATGAGCACATCATTCGTACATAATTTGTTCATATTAATGTAATAAGGTCTTGCTTTTACAAGAAATACCTCAGGAGTTTTTTCAAATAAAGGGCATGTGTCGACCTCAAACAGAAGGAAAGCCAAAACATCTCTTCCAACTTCAATTACCTTCATAGTCACTCAAGCTTTAACAGGAACACCACGGCACTGTAGTTTATTATTATTATTTTGTTAACTTTTTTAAATTGAATTTATGAGTGGATGATCAAAAAAGAATACTGAAACTCCTAAAACATTTTCTAAAACTGTTAATGACTTCTGTTAATATGATCAAATTGCCATATATTATTCATGGATATGCCTTTTATTTGGTGACTAACTAGGTAACAAGTGGATAAGGAGCCCTATTTTGCCATTTCAAATTATGAACCACTTTACAGGCAGATTTTAAGAAGGAATAATGCTGGTATACCTGTAAAATGCAGCAGACATCGAGACATCACAAACAGCTGAAATGGAAGATTTGTTATACTTTGAATGTATAGTCTGTATTTTTTGCTATGAAAAAATATTCTCTATTTAGCCTGAAGCAAACACAGAAGCACAGCGCAGCAGCAACGGATGAAACCCAACTAACAAAAATATGTTCTGAGAACCTTTTGCTAACGTTCATGAAACCGTTTATTTCTGAACATTCTGAGTTTTAAAAACATTCTTTCTTGGTTATGCTAACGTTAAGGGAACATTCAATTTCGCAAATGTGGGAACGTTACTTTTGAATGTTCTCTGAACAGTAGTAACTTTTCAAATAAATGTTAGACGAAGGCTGAAAAGATTGTTTAATGACTGATGTATAGCTCATGTTTTCATGTTGCCATTTTGAGAACATTATTAAAGACCAGATAACTTTGAACGAACATTCTTTTTTTTTGTTCATAACTTTGAGAGAACCTTGCCAGAACGTTAGCCAAAGTTCTGAGAACGTTCCCTGTTAGCTGGGAAACACGCATCCAAAATCCTCAACATCCATGAAAATAATTTCAGACTTTTATACTGTACAATTTTTCGCCGTCTGACGAATTCCAACACAAAATCAAGTCGTGTGCATCACCTTACAACCGTCAGTCTCTTCATCTTGTTTGGTCCTTTTTGTCAGATATATTAGTCTTTGTTTATATACACATATTATTATTTCTCATATATTCATTTAGCATAGCTGTTTTATACATTGCTTTGCAGCTCATTTTAATCGGAGATTATTCCAAGTAAATGTCTTCTGTTGGACACGAGACCTCCACAAACTCTTTATAGTACAAGTGGAATGCTTTCCTGTGAATGAAGTCAGAGAATACACTGTGACTATTAAACAAATCGATTCGTAGAAGGAGGAACATAAAGGAAAGGAAAATAAAACTGACCTCACAGACTCCGCAAGGGGTTTAGTGGAGTTCTCAGACACAAAGACGTGACAGGCGAATCTCTCATCAGCGGGATGTTTTGTAATAAAGCCAAAATACCTGCAGAGATACCGTAACATTATGATAATAGACTGACTTTTAAATAAAACACACAGAACAAATGCATTTACTACTGGTCAAAAGTTTGAGTTTTTTTAAAGAAACCTTTTATGTTCACCAAGGCTGCATTTATTTGATCAAAAATACAGTAAAAAGAGTGAAATATTATTACAATTTTAAAAGAACTGTTTTCTATGTGAATGTATTGTATAATGCAATTTATTCCTGTGATGAAAAGCTGAATTTTCAGCATCATTACTCCAGTCTTCAGTGTCACATGATCCTTCAGAAATCATTCTAATATGCTGATTTACTAGAAACATTTCTGATTATTATCGATATTAAAAACAGTTGTGCCGCTTCATATATTTATTTATTTTCATACATTTTTTTGTGGAAACTGATACATTTTATTCAGGATTATTTGATGAAAAGAAAGTTCATATTAAAGAACAACATTTATTTGAGATATAAATCTTTTTGTCACATTATAAATGTTTTTACTGTTGCTTTTAATCGATTGAATGTTTAATCAATTGAAGAAGAAAAACCTTACTGACCCCAAACTTTTGAACGGTAGTATATATGCGATATATTAATAAGAAAACCATCATCATTGTCAGTGAGAATTCAAAGGATGCAGTAAATGATTGACTTACTTCCTGTTCCTGGGATGGTAGCCACAGAATGAGACATTTTTCAAATGGAAAAAGTGACTATATTGGCTACTCTGTGGAAACAAGTTTATAAAACGATTATGTTGCATGTCCACAAACCTATAACCCTACACACATGCTGAAATGGCTTCATGTTTCCCACGCCTTTTCACCAATGAATTCCCATGTCTTTTCAAGCTACACGTAATATGGAATATTTGTAAAAATTCAAATCTGTTTGGTTCTGCTTTTCTAGCCGAGTCCATGGGTACTGTTACTGTGCATTTCATTAACTAAAACAGTCAACAAATAAACAGTATTACTCTTCATTACTCACTTTCTTGAAAAATCTTGCAATTTAAAAAGCAGAATGTTAAGATGTTTACAAAAACGCGCTTAAAGGCGATCATAAAACAAATGTTCCTGCTTGTGGTTTTACCATGTCGAAATCATCCTGCACTGTGAGTTTCAGTCCCTTCACGTTTATCTCCAGGATGCAGGATGACGGTGGATTGTAATGTACAGTCAGTCTCCTGTTCATCGCAATCTGGAATCAATCATGAAGAAGCAAGGGGACATTTAAACAACTACGATGGACTAAAAACTTTTGCGTTTTTCGTGTTCAGACGACGTTGTCAAAATGATCTCCGTTCACACGGATCCGCGAAAACGGAAAAAAACCCCGGTGTATTCTTCATCCCAGACCTACGGAAGCCCTGAACCGCAACGTAAAAAAAAAATTAAAATGTAGCATTTCGAGATTAAAGTCGAAATATTTCGAGAGTCCAAGAATACAGTCTTCCGTAGAAGTTGCGTGTGTGCTTGCCATTGTTTCACATTGCCGCACAGCACAGGCATTCATAATGGTGCATAGCGAGTGTTTCACACTGTGTGTGTGTGTGTGTGTGTGTGTGTGTGTGTGTGTGTGTGTTTGTGTGTGTGTTTTGTTTCAACAAAAGTAAATTCAACAGGTGCCAATCTACCAGCATTAGGCTACCATTAGGCTATAGGACGTTATAAAATATACTATAGGAAAACCAACCCGGAAAACACTTTTCAGACTGGATGGATGTATCCAGCTTTATGAATGAATGAATGAATGAATGAATGAATGAATGAATGAATGAATGAATGAGGCATTTATATAGCGCTTTCATATGTCTACTAGGCCTACACTCAAAGCTCTTTACAATCATATCAGAGAATCTCTCCTCAACCACCATTAGTGGTTATGAAATCTGAGGAAATCACGGGATCCGGCCAAATGATTGGATACAGAATGATGCACATAAAATGTATTCAGAACATATTTACGGTGAAGAGGGAGACAGAACGGTTACTGTTGTGTTCTCGGCCCAGATAGTGTTGCCTAGACGAGCACGAAAACACCTCAAAAACACTGCCACAAAGTTTGGACTAGATTGTGATACCTACTCCGGCGGAGTCTGTGTGCTCGTCTATATGGTAATTCTTGGTAATTCTTGTTGGTAGATTAGCACCTGTGTAGAATTTTGTTGAAAGCCCAGATAAAAGTAAAAAGCTACTATTTTGTGTTGATCCATGGCAGTTCGACTTCACAAGTGCATTTCTTTACACACACACACACGCGCTCTGAGCCAGTGGACGCGCACTGTTATGAATGCACACACTTCTATGGAAGACTGTATTATTGTAATGTTTTGACTTTATTCTCGAAATGTTTCGACTTTAATCTCGAAATGCTAGATTATTATTATTTTTTTACAGATTTTTTTTTTTATGTTGCGGTTCAGGGCTTCCGTACAGAGCAGTAGTTGGCGATGTCACTTTGCAAAAAAACACTAAGCGCCTATAGACTGAAAACATAATACGCATGCGCATGACGGCACGGTTTTCACAAATTCTCGTTTTTAAAGTTCACACGGAGATGATAAAGGTATCGTTTTAAGAAACTTGCACTTTGAAACCCGTTGTCAGGCTCCTAAAATGCCGTTGTCGTGTTAAAGAAAGGCCAAAAGGCATACAAATATTTTAGTCAAAAACAGTGTCATGTAAACGGACCCTAATAAAGAAAATTTAGGGGCCGTTTACACGGCACTGTTTCAGCTGAAAACAACATTCAACATTCTAATTGGGGGCCTGAAAAACGCAAACTTTTGAAAACGGGTTTCAAAGTGCAAGTTTTAGAAAATAATACTGTTATCATCTCCGTGTAAACTACAGACGCGAACCTGTGGAAATGGTGACGTCATGCGCATGCGTATTACGTGTTCAGTCTATAGGCACGTAAGGTTTCTTTACAATCTGACATCGCTTTGAAAACGTTGTCGTCTGTACGTTAAAAAACGCAAAAGAAAAACTTTTCCATTCTAAGTAGCCTACATCTTTGTCATGTAAACGTACCCTTAGAGGATGTTTTACCATATGCTCAACCCATCTAATTCCATCACTTCATTTGTTTTTCAGTGAGTGAAATTTAATATAAATCTCAAACAAACCTTTTGCATAGCTGCACAGAGAACATCACTGCCTTTGTGATTCAGTACTTGAACTGAGCCAAGGAATTTCATTGTATATTTGTCCATCCATTCAGTACTTTTTGCTAATGAGAACAAGACAGAGATATAAAGACCATATAAACAGTTAGGATTGTTAAGAAATGAAAAAACACAGTGGATTCAAACACTATCGGTCAAAAGTTTCAATGTTTTTAAAAGGCTGCATTTATTTAATAAAAATACAATAAAAACAATAATATTGTGAAATATCATTACAATAACAAAAACTGTTTTCTATTGGGATATCTTTTAAAATGTAATTTATTCCTGTGATGCAAAGCAAAATTTTCAGTATCATTACTCCAGTCTTCAGTGTCACATGATCCTTGATTGTATTATGCTGATTTGTTGCTCAAGAAACATTTCTTATTATTATCAGTGTTGAAAAGTTGTGCTGTTTTTTGTTTTTGTTTTTTGGAAACTGTGAAACAAGATTTTTTTTTTTTTTTTTTTTAAAGTGGCATTAAAGACATTTATAATGTCTAAACAAAATATTTCTGAACCTTCCATTCATCGAAGAATCCTGAAAAAAATATCAGCTTCCACAAACATATTAATCTGTTTTTTTTTTTTGTTTTTTTTACCTGTTTTCAAAATAGATGATGATAATATGAACCATTATTAATAACTGAGCATCAACTGAAGACACTGTCAGACTGGAGTAATGATGCTGAAAATTCAGCTTTAGATCACAGAAATATTTAAATATGTTAAAAGCAACAGTTCTTTTAAATTATAATAATATTTCACACTATTACTATTTTACTGTATTTTTGATCAAATAAATGCAACCTTATTTCGATCAGAAAAACTTTTAGGAAATATTTTGGATTATATTGAAAATGCTGAAAATTGCTTGCTATAGAATCACTAGAAAACTCTCTCAAGTAATGATTATGTCAAAACATAACCAACACCATTGGAATCACCTTTTCACTTTGATCATCTGGCAGTTATAACTCAGATATAACAGCCAAACAAAAACTAATGTTAACAGTCTAAGGGTCACGAGCCCAACTAAAGCAAACACTGATCACCATAATGGTGGCTTAAAAATATTTTCTCCTTTGGTGATTCTGCTTGTTAACATCAGGTGTCTTCAATAATGGTCAATCATCACTCATTGAATCACTTAATTAGCTCATTTAACTTTAACTTTGAGTCTGGAGCCAAAGAAACTACCAGGAGAGTTCATTTAACACTGGAGTTTTTGCTGTGTATTATCCATTTCGAGTCAGAGTGTTTCGCACATACACGATTAGCTGATTCTATATATGTTGTGGGAGTGGCATTTTAGAGTGTTTAGTTTAATTGATGAATTTATTGAAGCTTCAGAGCATAAATCATTTAATTTTGTATTGAAAATTGTCTCAGTGATCGTTAATTTGCCATCAATTTTTGTTTAAATCAAATGTATTTTACAAATTAATGTTCTAGTAGTAATCAATTATTTGGTACTGCTGCATGTTTTAAAGTTTCAAAACATTTATTTGAAATAATGAAAAATAGACTTTTTTGACCAACATTAATGAAAAATGTACTTTTTGGCCAACATGAAATATTTAATTAATACAACATTTTATTTCAATTTGAGTCTGCTTGTTGGCCCAACAAGCTATGTTCAGTCAACAGAAAATATTTAATTGACACAACATTCTATTTCAAGTTCAGTCTACATGCAGGGATAGTCAGCACAACACAAAAAGTTGGTTTCCGCAACTTAAATTGGGCCAACTAAAAATTTTAGGTGCAACGGGTCACTAGAAATGTTTATGTTGGAGAGGCATATTTTTTTTTACAGTGTTGGCTTAAAAAAAGTTTTTAAAAAAAAGAGAAAGAAGTGGAAAAATTAATTATTACAAACTTTTGACTGATATTGTACTCTTAACTCCAGCCCTTTTATGAAGTGAAATCTTTTCATAGATGGGGAATGGAATCAGGACATGCTATCTTAATCTCCAACTCTTACCATTTAAAGTAAGTTGTTGCTCCTGAAAGACCTCAGTGGCGTAATAGGCAGGAAAGATCCCCCGTTCTCCTGTTCTCATGTTGTATCCCTCATACCAGTAATCCTCATCCTGCACCTCCACCAGCAGAGGGTCATTGACCTCCAGCTCCAGCTCATCGTCGTGACGAGGGACAAATCTGGGGAAAACACATCCATGAGGACTAGGAAGAATCTTTCGTCAGTTCTCAGATGCTGAGATGTGTGTCTTGTTTGTGTCCCATTGACGTACTGATATAATTAACTAGATACTAATCCTGTTTGCATATTTAACTTTATATGCTTAGGGTGTAGTGCAAATATTTATAATTTCTAGATATTTATTTTGTCCTATCAACCAATCTGCATGCCCCCACTAATCACTGACACATTTGGGTTGCAAGGAAGCGTTATTGAATAATTTCCCCATTTACATGTTTAAAAAATAATGGTTTTATCTTTTGAAAATCAAATTTAAGAGTTACAAACAGATGTGGTTTAAACAGATCAGAATTTCCTCCAATATAAATTTGGAAATAAATACAGAATTTGATTTTTGTTTTGTTTTGTATATGAACTAACAACAGACTGATGGGGCTGAAATAATGCACATCATGAAACATAACAAACTGCTCATACTTTCCAAAGCTTTATTCAATTCCTATTTAGGAATTCGCATTCTTGAACATTTTAGTTCATTGCCTATTCAAATTATATGATATTTTAAAAAAAAACTCCTGAAAATGATGAATCACAAATGGAGCCATTTTCTGAGAATGACCCAGTATCCACTGGCCATGCGTTCATTCAGGACTTTGATCTATAGCATGATCATCCAAAAATACAAATGCATTGAACAGTTACACGCGTGTGCAATTTTTGATAGTGGAGTGCCAATCTGTTTCACCTGTAGACGGATCTGTGTGTCTGGTCCCTCTCCTCTCCATTAATCATGCAGGAAAACAAGCCAAACGATTCTGTACCTAAAGACATAAGCAAAACGCCTATGATACAAACCCTTTCACAAAATCAATACAGTACATTCTTATGTTCATACTGGTCTATTCTTAAACACGTTTTCAGTTCATTCCTATATACTGTAAGTTGAGTTTCCGTGGGATGAATTTAGTCTAATTTTAACCAAATGCCTTTTAATTTGCGTGTGCAAAATTCAGAATTAAATGAATGTGTAGCAATTTTAACCATTATTAATACCTGAGCACTAATAATAGGAGTAATAATAGGACCAACATAGAGTAATGGAGTCTACTGTTAATTTGTTACAAACATGAACAAACATTAACATCATCATTCAATCAGCAAAACATGCAGAAAACTTTGTCAAATGTAGATAAGAAAAGAGTTTTTTTGTTATTTCTTTTATTTATCTAGATTTGATTGAAACACCACTGGTCAAAAGTTTGGAATAATTAAGATTTTTTTGTTTTTGAAAGAAGTCTCTTATGCTCACCAAGACTGCATTTACTTGATCAAAAATACAGTAAACAGTAATATTGAGGAATATTATTACCATTTAAAATAGCTGATTTCTATTTGCAATATTTAAAAAAAAAAAATATTCCTGTGATGTAAAGTTGAATATTCTGCATCATTACTCTTTTTCATTACTTTTGGTCCTATTATTAATCCTATTATTAGTGCTCAGGTATTAATAATGGGTTCCCATTATTATACTTTTTTTTTTTTTGCTTAACATGTTTGTGGAAACCATGATTTATTTTTTTCAGGAATCTTTGATTTATTTAAAAGTATTTTAATGTGATCATCTTAATTATTCAAACATTTGGACCAATAGTGTTCAAATGATAAAAGCGATATAAAAGCATACCACTTACTGGAGGAGCGTGAGCAGCCATTCATGAAAACATTAACAAATTTTCGAGAAAATGGCATGTCGGCCTCAGGGGTAGAGTCCTCTGACAGACACATTGAGGCTTTGATCCCACTTTGTTTTCTTCCTTTGTCTTCATTCTCATCCTCCTCGTACTCTTTCTCAAGAGCCGACTCATATGGAGAGGAAACGCAATTATCATAGATGGTGGCCGAATCACTGTCATCGCTGTAGCCACGATAACACTCTCTTAAACTGACGAGTTCCAGCCGATCGTGCTCATCCACGACCAGTGTGTATTTGACCGAATCGTACGAAAGTCCACTTGCGTCTGAGTTGCTCATGGAAGTTTTCAGCGTTCCCGACAAGCTCTCGCGATGGGCATGATCCTCGCCAGCGCCGCAGTCTCTATAACACAGATCTCCCGCTCCAGTTACTTCTTCACCGCTACTGTCAGCGGCCGAAGCGTCCACACAAGAAAAATAGGAAGGGGGTTGCAGATCCTGCTCATGGTATGGAGGGGGGGCTTCATTGTCAGAGCTGACTGCGGTGACCTGCGCTTTCTCGTTCTGCGGAGCCTCTGTGCAACGCTGTATTGGTGTCAGATAGATCTCCTCTGTAGGCTCGAGCCGGACGTCTGTGTGATAACGGATCTTCTCGCAGTGACCCAGTTCTCTGTGTACATCTCTGGCTTTACATGGGACAGATAGTACAGCAGAAGGAGCAGGAGCTTGAGTGTGTTTGGGCTTGTCAGTCGAGGTGCCACAGTCTTTCCGACCGCTGCCTGGTTGGTGCTTCTCCTCATCGCTTAGACACGTGTGCTCACGAGATGGCGTCAGTTCACCTGGTTGCAGCAGGATCAAGCACAAAAAAAGTGAATTGATAGATTACCAATAGAGCCAGTGCTATGAAAGCTTGCTTGTGCCACGGTATAAAACAAAATGTGACTTTTTAATCTCACAATTCAGACTTTTCAGTTTTCTGGGAATTCTGCGGATTTTTTATTTTTTTTGTTCTGTGGTGAAAACAAGGGCAACAACAAGAATTCAAAAACAACAGAATTCAGAGATATAAACTCAGAATTCCCAGAAAAAAAGTGAAATTTGCGAGATGTGACCTTGCAATTACGTATTTATACCTGGAAATTGCGCGATATAAACTTACAATTGTAATTTAATCCGAGGCAGAAACAAGCTTCCATATAATGCATTCACACACACACACAAATATATGGCAGTCCACTTTAATTAGTACAAATATAATTTGAGGTCAGTGATAAAAGTGTAGGCTACTAACATTCTGATGGATAGCTTGTTTTGTTCTTGAAACAGAAAGATGGACCAACAAGTTAGGTACGCCTGCTGTGAGACCCATTGTTTGGCGAGACCGTATGCAAACATGTTTTTGTAGATGACTAGACTAAATCAAATTCACATGACCATAGTTGGCAGCAAAACATTGATGCCCTTTTGTCACTGAGACAACAGAGCTAGGGAAGTTTGGCATAAAATGAGCTAGCTCATAATCTGTCAAATTACTCACAAAATTGCCTTATTACTGAAATTATTTATTTTAAAATAATATACTTAAGTGCAGAGGTGGGTAGTAACGAAGTACATTTACTTCGTTACATTTACTTGAGTATTTTTTTGGAAATTTTTTACTTTTAAGAGTAGATTTAATTGTGGGTACTTTTACTTTAACTCGAGTACATTTCTAATGAAAAAACGGTACTTTTACTTCGTTACGTTGGGCGACGTTCCTCTCGTTACTTTATTTTAATGCAATATGTTGTTAAAAGCGTAGTTTATTCTAAGCGCGCGCTCTCTCTTTTTTCTGGGCATGAGCGATGCTCAATTCACAAATGAATCACTCTTTTGAGTCGATTCTGCTCAAAGACTTCATCAAACAAGTTGGGCAGATCTGTCTAAATCGGTTCGCGAATCAGTTTGAATGATCTGTTCAGTTTCCTGCACGCACTGAATCATCTCGGAGTCGTAACAGGAAGATTACATCAACATCAAGATTACATCAAGAACGTATGAAGTGGCGGTAGTCTACATACAGTCTAGAAAGTAAATCTGCAAATGCATCATATTTTTTTGCCAGCGATGAAGATCTTTATTAGTTGAACATCTTCGTATGTTACTTCGTAAGCTGTCGAATGAATTATTCCACACGACGATACATTCGATTTCATTTCATTCAGGTAATACATTTTACAACCAAACAGATTATTACGCCATATAGCACTACTACAAAGTATGACATTACCCTTTTCTTGGACATATACATTAATTTATACATTAAATAAGCTATCGTCCAGTTTATGAATGTGTGTACACACACAATGTGTGTATTGCGCAGTGACGTGCGAACTCGACTTGAAAACGAATGCCTTTGCCTGCCTTATTAGACACAGTTAACCAGTTTAAAGATGCTTTCACAAATATAGCCTACATTTAAATACATTTTGGAGAACAGACAGAAGAAGATCCGTGCATTTGATCGTTGGTTGTGTTTGGCATGACATGACTGCGGGCACATGTGCAGAGTTTTAACACTTTCTAATCTGTGTCAATGGTTCCCACCCCTTTACATATGAATGCAAAACTCCATAGAGTCACTTTATTCCGACATTGTCTAATAATCCAAATGTAGTTGTATAAGTTATTATACTATTATACAAACCAAAGGACAGGCAATGGTTTTCGGGCTATAGATATAATATACAGATATACAGAAATAATGTTTGTCTCTTCTGTTTTTGTTGCAAAGATAGCTCATCTAATTATGATAATTTTAGTCATTAAAATAAAAAAATATCTAAATAATGTCATGTTATATATATATATATATAGGCCTATGTGATCCAAAGTAACTAGTAACTAACTACTTGAGTAGTTTTTTCATTGGATACTTTTTTACTCTTACTCAAGTAACTTTTAAGATTATTACTTTTACTTTTACTTTGAGTAAATATTTCTATAAGTACTTGTACTTTTACTTGAGTACAGTTTTTGGATACTCTACCCACCTCTGCTTAAGTGGTAACTAAATCTAATGTTTTCGACACTTATTTGCATGTCAATACCAGCTAAATTAAAATGTATTACAGTTTAAATTTATATTCCATGCAGCTAGCTGAACCTTAAAGTGTTTTATTTTGCTCACTTAAGTGGATCTTTACAGTATATGTAATTTCATAATTGACATTTCTATTGAAACTTGTGTCATGTATTTAAATATATTTGTAATTACACATTTGTAGTGATGAAGTTGCAATGTAGTATTTTTAAAATATATTAACTATCAAATAGTGTAAATCAAAATAAATCAAATAACACACTATAGTTTAAAATCAAGTACTTTACATGTGCTTTAGTATGTTAGTCAACACATCAAAATAAGTGGTCTTTTAAAATCACACACATGATAATCAAAACATTATGATTTAAAATGTAGGTTAAATTAAAACTTTAAATTTTATATTACCAAGTGCACTTTTTTAAAAGTGTGCATAAGTGTGTTAATTTTATTTAATTAATATTACATTATCTGCAATACAGTTTTTAAAAATATATACTTTAAAGATTTGAAGTACACTACAAGTGCACTTCATTTGCTCATAAAATAAGTAATTAGTTCACGACCGCTAAAAAAAAGTAAGTTATATATAGTTTAGTATGAATGTAATACGGACGTACTACATTGGCCATGCTGTCATTATCATGTGACCTACCAGCAGTTACATCGCTTCACTGCCATTCACAAATCCTCTCCCTTGGCCTCATGGGATAGTACAGTGTCCATTGTCTGCACACTTCAGAATCTCACCGGAAGAAGTAGATCATCCGGGTACTTTTTGCCTACTCATTAATGAGTACTGTGAATTCGGACATAGCCCTACTTCTTCAGTCACATACTGTTTTTCACCTACTATATAGTAAGGAAGTATGTGATTTCGGATGCAGCCTCGTTTTAAGTGGAGAACATTGTTGTCACTGCAATGATGTCACGCCAACTTCCCAACTAAGACTTAATGAGTGCTTACACCATAAACCAAGATCTCTACACTCACCTGTTTTAAGCGGCGGCAAGGTCTGAGAGATTTTCTGCTGCCAGCTGTACTTCTTCGCAAATGAGTTGTTGTTTAAAGTGTCCTGTTGATGAGATGCAACAGACAAGCTAAAGCATACTTTCATAGTGGTCTTGCAATATAGAGTATGTAAACTGTTCATAGCATGCAAATATTTTTGTATGCATGGAATAACCAGATGCACTGGGAACCCTGAAGACTCAAAACTAAATAAAACACCTGAATGAAGTTAAATAATACAAGAGTGTTCTGTTAATGTGTTGCATTTAAAACCAAGTCTTTTTGATGGACTCCAAAAGACCTCCCTCTCTTTCTCAGATTCTTTCTCACTCTCAATACCTCTTACAATTCTTTCAATAATGCCTACTCTTTTTGTCCATACGGACCCATATTAACATTCCCCACACAGACCATGAGCTTTACATCATTTCTCCACCGTTAATAAAAGCAGAGGTTTAAAGTAACAGATTACATATAATCATTACAATACACTCTTAAAAATAAAGGTTTTAAATTTTTTTTTTGCAGCAGCAAAGCCTTAGAAGAACCATTTTGGTTCCTCAGAGAACCACTTTAAAAATCAAAAGAACTTTTCCACCATAAAGTAGGGTTGCACAGTATACCGATACCACAGTAGTGTCATGATACTAAAACGTCAAAATACTGGCAATGCCACTGTAGTTTTAAAATGGTAGTACCGCAAGTAATGTTGTATGAGCTGAGGTTACTCTATTTAAGTCGCTCATTTGATCACTTCTGGAACGGGTGTAATGGTTTATTTCTAGAATTATTTTTGCGATGACGAATGCAATTAATTCCATTCATTACAGCATTCGCACTTGAGTCAATCATTTGAGTCCTTATAATGTGATTTTAACATTATCAATGAATTTATATACTATAATATACTGTCCTCCAGTTAAAAGTCGTATATTTCAAGATATCAATATATGGGGGCAAAATATGCTCCTGTGAGTTCTTGTTTTTTTATATATTTATAACATATAGCACACGTATGTCTGCAAGATGTCTGTTATAGATCACTTCATCTAAAGCATCTGCTGTTTACTAACATCTGATAGACGTCTTTAAGATGTCATACATTCTAAATCATAAACATCTTAAAGACATTTTCTAAATGTCTATTTGACTTCTGACAGGAAACGTCCTATAGACGCATTCCAGATGAGCAAACACTCTAAAAATTACAGATGTAAACACGCACATCAAATAGACGTCTCCGTGATGTACGTGTGCTATTTGACAATGTGACAGAGTGCTGTTTTCCCGAATATCAACACGATTGCAAATGTGGTTTTACACAACAGTTCAATAAGCAAAAAATTATTATTAAATGACAGTTTAGACACAACATTGTCAATGGTGTTGTTTTCGCTTATTTCGCCAATGAAAAGTTCTAAACAAAGCAGAACTGTTTTTTGTTTCTGTGTTTTTTCTGTCTTCTGTTCTTCGCATCCGTGTTTTTGAGCAAATCGTGCGAATCAATGATTTAATGAGTCATTCGTTCCTGAATGAATCAGCCATTTTGAATCAAGCGTTTGAATGAATGATTCAGTGACTCAATCATTAAGACTTGCTGCCACCTCCTAGTTTCCCATTTAAAAGTAGGCCCTTTTTCAACATTTCATATTTCTACATCCAGAATTTTATATTTAAAACATTAATCTCATAACATTATTTATGCAATAGTAATTGCAGTATAGATGCATTATTACCAACTCTGAGCAGTCAACTGTCAGTATAAATACATCTAAATGTACCTTCAGATGCAGCTTCTGTGCCACTTCTGCAGTGTTAAAATGGATTTTGTTTACACTGATTTCATTTGATTGGTAACAGTCAGTTAATCATTCTCAGTAATAAAGTATTCAGAGGAAAATCTAGTCTAGTAGTTTTCATTTACATCAATGTATTTATGAAAATTTGGTCCATTTTGTAGAGTTGAATTATGACTTAACATAATATTGCACGTTATCGTGATAATGCTTGGTATTGTGATACTTCACCTGGTGTAGTATCGTAAGATATGTTTGTGGTATCGTGACAACCCTACTATAAAGAACATTTTGTGGATTGAAAAGGTTCCATGGATGTTAAATGCTCTTCATGGAACCATCAAAGCCAATTAAGAACTTTTTTAAGAGGGTAATTAAGTAGCTTTTCTCAGGAGTTGTACTTTATTTAGTATTTATTTTAAATGCTGTACTTTTACTTTGCCGTTTTTGCTCTAACTGTGTTCACTACTTATTTTCCTAAAAAAAAAACCAACTGGTTCTGACAAAACAAAATAAGCAAATGTCAGAGGCAAACACTGTTTCTCTTTCAGCATTCCTGCTTGTGTTCTGGTGAGAGCGCTCACTCAGTGTTTATTCAAACAGATAATAACAAAGGAACGTCATCAACCCCTCTAAATAACAATGAAGTGGTAATACTTTGTTCAATGGGGGCCAAGCACTAACAAGCCCAAACACATGACTGTATTCTAGAAAGAGGACATTTATGAAAAAACAAGTCCAAAGTTGTGTTGTGTTTTCATGTTTTATGGGGACTTTGCATAGACATAATTTTTATACTGTATAAACGGTATATTCTATCCCCTTACACTAACTCTACCCCTAAACCTACCCATCAAAGAAAACATTCTGCACTTTTACATTTTCACAACAAAAAAATCACTTAGTATGATTTATAAGCTGTTTTTCCTCATGGAGACCAAAACATTTCCCCACAAGAACAAGAATTTAGGATATTGCCAGTGATATGTTGTCCCCATATTGTAGGGTTTACCAGGACACACACACGTTTTAAAATTGAGTTCTGGTCATTAGTGAACAAATCCTTGGTAAATTCTGCAAAATGTCATGATGATCAGACACAGAGGTCCAGTTTTAAATTAACTGAACTGATTAATTACTAAAAGCCTAGTCATTTCAATGTCATTTAGATTCAAATGTGAAAAAATGTGATGACAGAGCAGATGCGTTAAATTAGTCAATCCATTTACACACCTTTGACCAATTTGTGCTGACCTGTTGCAAGATTGATAGGCGAGCGCTATTGCATTGAGAGTGTAGTGAGTCAATCATATCGCAATGCACTCAGGCATCACCTTCTCTCACTTGACTTTTTTAAAGTGTTTTATCACACCATGCTCTATCAGCTCAATTTGCTGTAGTTGAACATGATGAGCTCAAAAGAGACGCTGCCTCCCTCTGAAACTTTATCGACTGGCGTCGCTATTGGATGCTATCACTGTCAATTCTTTTCTTTTCTTAAATTGTTTAGGAGGCACTGCTTTCCGTGCCTCATCAGAGAAAATGCACCTGCAGTGTACCTACAGTCATATCTTTACATACTGTTTATTACCTGAGTCCTGGGCACCTGTGGGAATAAGTTGAGAGTGGTCGGTCTTTTTGGACGGTAGGTATCCATGGTGAAAGGAACCGCAGAATCCATAGATGCTTTGCTGTCGTATCGACAAGCCACTCTTTGGCTCCTATCAACAGCATCAGTAAGATGTAAAGGATGTGTCTCTGCCTGGATCTGACCCACTGCGCCTGCCTCCACCTTGTCCAAGCCACTATTGGGTGCTTGAATCACATGGTCCTGCAGGGATTGGAAAGATCGACTGTCAATCAGAGAAGAGAGTGAATGAAAAAGCAAGAGGGGAGATGAGGGCCACTGACCCAACCATTAGAGCAAGCAATGACATCAGACTTTGGCATTTTTGGTGCCGGCTAAGCCACGAGAACAAGAGACAGGGGGAGGGGTTTCGGACAAAGACTATTCATGTTGGTGTTTACTCACTGCATTACAATGAGACACATGCTTTCAGCTCCAGTTATTTGCAAAAGTTCTCAAGATTTGTACAGATTTTGATTTAGAGATAATATTACTAAAGTAAGTGTTAATATTAAAAAATACGTGGAGTGAAAATATGAAAAGTGTACATTCAACATACATTCAAGACATAATAATATACAGCTTTTATCAGGGTCCCACTTTATATTAAGTGTCTTTAACTACTATGTACTAACATTTAAATTAATAATTTGATACAATGCACTTATTGTGTTCATATGTTTTTACATCGCACTAGTATTTAAAAAAAAAAAACCTGCATGTTGTCACGTTTGTTGTTTAATTTTTCCAGTAAATTTTTTCTTGACTTTTATTTTGGAATTTGTCATACTTTCTGTTTTTGTCATGTGATTCCCTGTTCCCATTCAGTCAGTCATGGTCGACGTTATGTCGATACTGATATATTGGGGTCTCACTTAAGAGCCCAATCACCTTTGAGTGGTAACAAAACGAGCCAATGGATATTGGCCAGTGAGATTTGCATACCGATTCACTCCTACCCAGACATAAGGGTATATAAGGCTAGCTCGCTCATTTTTGCTTCGCAGCCGAGCGTTTTACAGTGATTGCTCTCTTCCAATATCCTATCTTGACAAAGAGCTTGTTTCCTGATTGAAAGAGCTGAATTTCCAATCTAAAAGAGCTTGTTCGAAAGGAGATCTCACTGCTGGTATGAGGGCGCATCCAGTGGTGTTGCGCCATCATCATTCTTTTTAAAGATGTCTTTCCATCCGTGTGTTTCTGGATACGGTCGTTTCCTGGCTTCCTCTGATGGCCAACTATTGCTGTCTCACATGTCTGGGCCTAGAGCATGCTGAGAAAGCATTTGTGGATGGTTCATGCTCTCATTTCCCCCCTAAGGGGTGATTACTCATCCCGCTCATGCTGAATCGGATTCAGAGTTGACGGCCATGCTTGCCCGGGCCACCACGGGCATCAGACTCAAGTGGAACCCTCCACCTTGTCCGGAGCACTTGCAGTTGGATGATGGGTTCCTGGGGGCAGCACACGGTTCACAGCTACGTTCCGCCCCAGTGCCTTTCTTCCTGGAAATGCATGGAGGATCACAAGTCATGGAAGGCACCTTTTACTGCCCGAAACCGCTCTGCAGCTTCTTCCTTTCTCACTACCCTCAATGGTGGGGTTGCCAAGGGTTACATGGAGATTCCACAGGTGGAGCGTGCAATTGCGGTGCATTTATGTCCGCAAAGTGCTGCCACCTGGCAGAATCACACGGCCTCTTGTCCAGGGTCTGTAAGACGACATCAGCCCTGACTGCTAAGGCTTACAGTGCCGCTGGGCAGGCTACCCTCCGCCTTGCATGCCATGGCCATCCTGCAGGTCCATCAGGCAAAAGCTCTCAAAGAGCTGCATGAGGGACAGTTCTGAGCCGGGGTTGATGCAGGAACTGCGCACAGCGACTGACCTCGCATTCTGGGCAACGTTCAGGGTGCTCTGCTTTGGCCTCTGCAATGCACCAGCCACTTTTGCCAGGTTAAAGGACAGGGTGTTATCGGGTATGGCAGATCATTTCAGCCCTTGTCGGAGGCCCTCAGGCGTGTGCTGGTTCGCATAATCGAGTCTAGCTTGAAGCTGCACCCAGAGAAATGTCATTTGTTTAGGAGGGATGTGACGTTTTTGGGGCACAACCTGGGGGGCCAAGGGATTGGCCCGATGGAAGAGAAGGTGCAGGCGGTAAGCAACTGGCCCACTCCTACAACCTCACAGCAGCTCAAAAGTTTTTTGGGGTTGGCCTCATATTACAGGAGGTTTGTCATGGTTTTTCAAGCATCGCAGACCCACTTTTCCGTCTGCTGAAGAAGGATAAGTCCTTCGCTTGGACTGAGGAGTGTCAAAACTCTTTTGCCGCCCTGAAACAGGCTCTGGTCACAGCCCCTGTATTGGTCCCCCCTGACCTCGCACTGCCCTTTATTCTGGACACGGACGTCAGCAATGTGGGTCCCCCCTGACCTCGCACTGCCCTTTATTCTGGACACGGACGCCAGCAATGTGGGTATGGGGGTGATTCTCTCTCAGGTGGGGGTTAGGGGAGAGCGAGTTGTGGCCTACTACAGTAAAGCGTTCAACAAGGCTGAATGCCGATACTGTGTCACCAGACGGGAACTTGTTGCGTTGCTTTTTGCAGTCCGACACTTTAAGAATTACCTGTGCGGGCTACCTTTCACTGTACGCACTGATCATTCAGCTCTCCAATGGCTAATGTCATTCAAAGAGCCAGAGGGCCAGCTGGCATGCTGGATTGAGGAACTTCAGGCATACAATATGAGAGTAGTACACCGTCCAGGGTCAGGCCATACAAATGCAGACGCTCTTTCTTGTCGGCCATGCTTTGTAGACGGGTGTCGGTACTGTGATAAAAGAGAAGCCAGGGAAAGAGAGCTGGAGAACCCGGATGCCAGTGGGGCTTCTGTGGTTTGTAAGCATGGTGATATGCCGGCGTGTTTGACGGTGGGGACAGTAGGAGTAGAGGTGGCTGCAAGAGGAAGATGCGGACCCGCAGCCAGTAATCCAGTGGGTCCAAACACAGCAGCGACCTCTGTGGGAGGAAGTGGCCGTTCTCTCTTTGTCCACGAAAAACTTATGAACAAAATTCAAAGACCTGCGTCTGCAAAATAGGGTGTTAGAGAGGGAGTGGAAAGACCCTGCCACTGGGGAGGGGAGGTGGCAGTTGGTGGTGCCCAGGTCGCTGCATGAGGGTGTTATCAGGGCTGCCCACGTGACGGTGGGGTCTGGACACTTTGGGGTTTCAAAAACACTCAAACGTGTCAGACAGAGTTTTTACTGTGGGCTTGTGAGGAGAGATGGAGGATTTTTGTCGGTGGTGTGATGGTTGCACAGCCCGCAAGGGCCCGCCTGGCCAGTCCCTCGCTCCCCTGCAACAGTTCCCTGTAGTAGGCCCAATGGAGACATTGGGGGTGGATGTAATGGGTCCTTTTCCATGTTCGGAGAGGGGTAACAGGTTTTGTGCTGACGGCTATGGATTATTTCACTAAATGGCCAGAAGCTTAAGCACTGCCTGACCAAGAAGCCGAGACAGTGGTGAACGCGTTGGTGGATGGCATGTTCAGCCATGTCAAATTCGGGGTTGCTGAATCCATACACAGCGATTAAGGCCGGAATTTTGAGTCGCGTGTCTTCTTGCTGATGTGTGAAAAATTAGGGATTCACAAAACAAGGACCACCCCTTTGCATCCCAAAAGTGATGGCCTCGTTGAGAGATTTAACAGGACGCTGGCGGAACAGCTGGCCATTGTGTTGAGCGAGATTGGGATACGCACTTGCCATTTATCCTAATGCCGTGCCAATCCGCTGTACAAGACTCAACCTCTTGCACACCCGCCCTTTTGATGTTGGGGCGGGAGATCAGAACACCTGGGGAAATGGCTTTCGGGAGGCCACCTGATGCGCCTGCTGTGCCCCCGGGCCATGAGTATGCTAGAAAGCTTCATGACTCATTGGAAGCCGTTCATAATTTTGCAAGGAAGCAGTTGTTAAAAGCGGGGACCCGGCAGAAGCAAAATAATGACCTGAAAGCAAAAGGGCGGCATTTCACAGCAGTAGAGCTGGTGTGGGTGTATAGCCCTCAGAGAAAGAAGGGCAGGTGCCCTAAACTGGACTCCAAGTGGGTTGGGCCATGCAGTGTTTTGGGGAGAATCTGAGAAGTTGTTTACCGAGTGCAGTTGCCTCCGAGGGGTAGGAAGGTGGCCGTGCACTGAGACAGATTGCCACCTTATAGAGGAAGCGTCGCTACAGCCCCAGCACCGGCCTCCTCTACAGTTGTGCCTACCCCGAAGGGTGGACCAGGACCCCAGTCGAGCACTTCGAGTCCTCTGGCAGACCCACATGCAACCACACCAGTTCTTGAGCTGCAAACCTCACATTCATATAGCCCAGTTTCAGTTACACAGGAAGGGCAACTGCGGCCTCAGCGAGTCAGAAGGCTGCAGAGACGGTTCAGGGACTTTGTTTGTTCCCTCGAGGTCGAGGAACTTTGTGAAGGGGGAGCAGTGTAGCAAGTCTAAAGACTGGTTATATTCAATATCAGGTGCGATCTAGATCCATGTATTTTCTTTCATGTGTTATGTGTTCTGGTTATGTGGGGCTTTAAGGCGTGGGCTGTTCTTCTGAAGAAAGAGCCTGCACAGTTATGTGTGGGCGGGGACTGGGGAAAAAGGAGTTCCAGAAGTTTGAGGTTCGCTGGACTGTGTGAGGCAAGAGCATCGGCCACACAGGTGCTCAAGTTAATAAAAGAGCATTAAAACTGTTAAAGTCCCCGTAAAGTCAAAATTAAGTATGTGTTCTGAGTTTGTCACACCACAGAAAAATGTGTTATTAGCCACCCAGCCAAATTTGAATGATAAAAAAAGCCGGCAAGTACATAAAATAAGCTATCAAAATCTTGAAAAAATGAGCAGTTTTCTCTGCTCTCAAACGCTGGGGGCGTGTCCGCTGGCTGCGCTGAAACCACGCCCACTCGCGGGAAAGCTGCACTCGACGGGACCCGCTACAGCCGAAATGGATGCTCCTAGCAGCTTATTAGGTTATTAGGTTATACCAAGCCATATTTGTTTGAGCCTCCAGAGCCTGAATCCGATTCAGAAGACATTGACCAAGGAAGTCAACATCGTCCCCCTCGCTCTGCAACAGAATGGTAAATTTTTTCTCTCCCTTTTATGCAAGTTAGCTAAGTTATATGTAAGTAAACGTTAACTAGCTTAACCTAACTTAGACAAATAAAGTTAGACAAGGCAACTTACACTCATTGGTGGGCACGCATTGCCGATGATGGCGCCAGTTGTCGGCGGGACGGGAGGATGAAGGCCGAGGCGAGAGATAGTCGGTGCGGCACCTTTCACCAGTAACAACGGATTATCTGTGAATCCCAGTTGTCTCCGACGAAAGTTTATAAAACTATCACGAGTAAAATGATCACTACAGAGGCGGGTTTGGCTGGTGATCCTCAGCTCTCCATCAAGGTGGCTCTTCACAAAATTAATCCACCTCTTCTTGATGTCGTCGTTTTTAGGAAATTTAAACAAGGACACCGATCTGTTTTGCAAATGATTGCATCCAAGTAGTACGCATTTCCGTGACGAAGGCATGGCTAGATAGCAAACTGTAGGCTGTAGTAACTGATAATAGTACTGACAGTAACTCGCAAATGAGCGCCAAACTGATGCGAATGTGCTCTATTTATATTGTTAGAGGGATCAGTATCAGTGCGTCATCGAGTAGGGGCGTGTCCAAGAGCTCCAGTGCGTCATCGAGCCCTGTTTTAGACCCGCCCAAAAAATCCGTGAAATTGCCAGGGTGAAAAACTGTTTAACGGTCTAACTCCACAATTCAGTACTTCACAGTTCACAGTCTTTGTAATATGTTTTAGCAATACATTTCTAACCTTTAGAATGTGTTTAGAATGTTTTGTTAAAATTGCCTTTACAGGGACTTTAAGTGAGTCTATCATTTTCTCCGATTGCTGCAATATTTAAACACCGGCTTGCTTTCTCTGTGGTGCCTGACTCTGAAAAAATATTTTAAAAAACTGGATGTGTCAGCAAGTACAACAACTCAAACTTGAAAAAAGTGAAATTTCTAACAGACATAAACCTGGCAGTGATCACTGCCACCTACAAGTCTAATGATCTAGTGCACATGACAACAGAAAAAAAACACAAAAGAACAAGATGTTGTACTAGTCAAAATCAGAACAAAAGTACACAAAGGCTAGATGCATTGTAATTCCCAGTGGTTGTTTGAAATTGTTCTGTACTATTTTACACGTTAGGCAAGACCTGTTCTCACCTTGATGTCAGAGTTGTGTCGCCTGGCCCTGAATTCAAATTCATCAGTCATTTCTGTGATTTCAGACAGGTCCTCATCTTCAAATTCATCCAACCCTATGTCATGGGTCAGCCTATAGAAAGAACCACCAAAGTTATTGGTCAGGGGCACTAGTGGGCAGTTTGTTTCATTGTTTTTAAATGTACTGCACAATATACCCTTGTGAAAGAGAAGTGTGCTTAATTGTATTGAATAGCACTTGTAGTGTACTTGAAATCGTAAAAGTCTATTAAAAAACTACTTGCATATAACATATTAATGAAATAAAAGGCCACTTAAGTGTACTTAAAGAGAGTGCACTTTAATGATTATTACTTAATACACTTAAGTGCACCTTTTTAAAGTTTTACTTTTAGTTTTAAAGTCAAGTTTTACTTCAAATTTTAAATCATTATTAATATCTTTTAAATGTACTAAATGGCAGCTTCATCTTTACAAATGTGTCATTTCAAATATATTTAAATGCATGACATACAAGTTGAAGTTTCAAAAGAAATGACAAAGTACATTTTAGTTAAATGCTTTTCAGTACATTCAGGCACTTGTATGCACAAACTATGCAAAAGTGGCAGCCCTTCAGGTGCAATTAGTGTCCGAATGCACTCAGTCATTTTCATACACTCCTTCAAGTGGACTATATTAGTTGTAGTATAGGGACTAGTGAATGGGGGTATAGGGGGCGATTTCGAAAACAGCCTCTGTTTTCAACTCCTCCCTCGACTGCAAGCTGCAAATCTCGCTGAGGGAATCCAGCCGCAAGCCAAAGTCGAACACACCTTTTAATTAGCTGGTCCATGTGTTTATTTGGGGTTAGAACAAAACTCTGCAAGAAAGAGGCCCCTAAAGCACAGGACCTGATGCATTTGTGCCACTCACACCGGCCTAAAGATGACCGAATCGAATTATACCCAAAAACGCTGTAATAGCTGCCAAAGGTGCTTCAACAAAGGGTGCAACTTATGCCAATGTGATTTAAAAAAAAAAAAAAAAAAAAAAAAAAAAATTGCAAAGTTATTACACATCTGTTTTTTGCTTTATCATGATATTATTTGGATTGTAGATTGAAGTGAAAAAATAAATAATTTTAAGCATTTTAGCATAAAGGTGAAGTGAAGCATATGTGGGAAAAAGGGGTGGATATTTTCGGGGAAAAGAGACGTGGCTCACGTCATAGGTCACATGACAATGTCACAACTCTTCATCAAACGTAGTACCAACAGGATTACAGAAGCAGCTTGTGTCTCTATGTGCGATGAAAGAGTTCATGCTGTGCACATGCACATTCTCAGCCCCTTTCAAAATAAAAGTATTTTGTCACGGCATCAGTCTGACACTGAAATAAATAAAACCTGCATTGCAAAGTCAACTATTTAAAAAATAAATAAAACAGCAGGTGAAGACAATAGTATGATGCCCTTACATATTTATATAATTTTCAATCTATGAATAAAAAAACGGCAAAGGTAAAAAAAAATCCCATTTCACTACTGTAAAACATATTGCATAAAAAAATAATAGAAGATCCTTAACATAATGAATGTTGCTATATGCAACAAAAATAACAATCTACTAGGCCCTATGTGTGAGCATCTGCTGCTCATCAAAACACATGTAGCCTCCTAACAAATCAGTATTTTTTCCTAGCACAACAAATTTTGCATAGGCTATTATAGAGAAAAATAAGCTCATACCATTTCTCCCATTGCTCCTCCGTCCATTCTTCTTTGCCATCACCGTTTGAGTCCATTCTGTGAGCAGTGCAGCATGGGATTGTGTTTACATCTGGTCAAAGCTCTCTTCATATTTCAGTGCCTGCCATTCGAGCCGCTGTATTTGAAGTCAGTTTAGACTGAATTCAATGACAGCACATGCAGCTCCAGCATTCTCCATTCACTGTTATGTCCAGTGTATAATGATGACGCCTTGATGAATGCTGCATTTTTCTCACTGTATCTCTCTGCCCTTGTTCATGTGTTTACCTGCATCCTCACTGTACGATCTACAACAGAAGACAAAAAATAAAATAAAGCAGAAATGGCTAAAGAAAAGCTTTGCAGAGTCAGCGCTGATAGAGATGATGCATGACAGTGTCCTTCTGCTTATACATAATAATCATGCAGACGATCCAATAGCTGGCGTGTATTTCACAACATCTCTCCTCCTCTTGTTTTCAAAGTCGCCCATCCCCCATCTCTCTCTCTCTCTCTCTCTCTCTCTCTCTCTCTCTCTCTCTCTCTCTCTCTCTCTCTCTCTCTCTCTCTCTCTCAGTGTTTGAGAGATATGAGCGGGTGGGTGTGTGCAGCCAATTCAATACCTCTCTTCAAGGCTAAACAGTGACATTCTATGAAGAGAAACCAAAGAAAAAGTGTAAATATCTACAAATAAGAAAGTGGACCATATAGTGAAACGTACTCGCGCTAACAATGACCTGGCGGTCCACCAGCGTTTTTTGGGCGGCACAAAGTCAGCGGCTTGACACGGTCGGACCTCCGGCGGCACGCCATTGGCAAAACGACCAATCTGAAAATGCGGTCGGTCCGCCAGCGTTTTTTGGATGGCACGCCACCAGCGGTTTTCCGCGGCTGGGCCACCGTCGGCACACCAGTCAGTGGCAAGCCGATAGTCGGTCCAGTGTTGCTGAGCACTTACAGGACATCTTTAATTTATAAATGTATATTTATTTTAATTTATTTTTTACAGTTAAAAAGAATCTGAAAGCACTGAATAAAAGAATTGTGAAACTGACATAGCTGCAGTAGCTATATCAAAAGCAAAGTGTAGGTGGTATAAAAAATACTGCCTATAAGCACTTTTAGCACGCTTTCAAATGAAATATGGGGCTTGAGTGTTCGTAAAAAAAAAAAATCTGAAATTATAAAAGTGCCACAATTGTCCCACTATCACGTGCTGGAGTGGTAATTTGCACCTATGAACGGGTCATATAACTTCAAAATAAGTTTTAAATTCATGATTTAATAATGAGATTTTTATTCAAGTAAGGTTCTAATTCTAGATGTTTATGTTTGTAAATGCTGCGTGACTTTGACGCGTTTTAATGGACGTGCGCGTGAATATTCGAGTCGCCTTCAAACACTGGAGCAGAGATGAGTTACCATGGAAACGGCGCAGGACGCGTCATCAGTGCAACAGACAAGCAGCAAAACTCCGACTCTCGCTGTTGATTTCACTGCTTTCAGGTGAGTTTAGTCTCTAAAATCACACAAATAATACACACAACTGTTCTTGACACTTCTCTTACTTGTAATTGACACGCTTCTGTTGAATATTTACTTTATAGAAATGGTTTAGTGTCTTCGAGAAAGTCCGTTAGCATCTCAACCGTTTTCAGAAGAGGTAACTTAGGCTAACTTTAACGTATAGCTTGAGCTTTTGTTTATGAAGGTTTGGGCTTTTAATCGCATCTTATGTGTAGATGAGAAGTTTTGTAAAGATTTTGCTTGGAAGTGAGCTAATGTATTTAACATAAAAGTAATGTTAATCGATGACGTCGCTTACACGGCTGAAACTAGCTCAATGGTTCATATATATTGACAAAAATTGTTCTGTGATTTCAGCAGCAACAAAATAATCCCTCTACAACAGAGGAAAAGTTCCACGACTTCAACATTTCTGAAGAAAGCTGCTGCTGGAGAAGTGGGAAACACTGTAACACAGGTGAAGTGAGGAAGCTCATTAAATAACCTCATATCCATTTTTTCACTATATTTTTCACCTATATCACCATGCATCTGTTCTCATTTTTTAAATTTCTCATATTTACATTTTTTATTTGTTTAATTTATTTTAAGGTTTTGACATCCAAACGTAAGTGACACTGTATGAGCAATATTAACCCTCATTTTGTGTTTGGGTCATTTTGACCCAGAAAAGATTTTATTTTTCCCTAAAATACTAGATAATGTCATCGCATTGGACTGAAACTTGGTGACTTTGTTCACAAAGGGTATAATTAAGTTATATATCTATGCACAAACTGGTTTTAGTCAGTTTGTGCGCAGTGACCCTGTTTCAAAAGAATCTTTCTTTCATGTTCTTAGTTTCATCACAGTTTTCAGACAAAATATTATGACATTGTGTTTTGGGACTAAAATGTAAAAATATAGATGTTATAGCACAGACACATATAAATGCTTCACAGTGTCTTGCTTGGCATTTATTTTGTAGCAGCACAATGGCGAAGAAGCTCTCTGTGCATGATGTTCTTCATCAGATCGTTGATCGAGACACCAGTGAGGAGGAGGCGATGCAGGATGAATCTTGCAGTGAAGGAGCATTAGAAGATGTATCAGAAGAAGAAGCCACCACTGAGCTACAGACCTTGAAACCACTGATGAGCAGCATCTTCTGATGATGAGGGCCAGCTGATGCTACGGTTACATTCTGGTCGAAAGATGTAAGTTTGTCCTGGTCTTCATCCCCACGAGGCAAGGTAGTTTTTCTTCTGAGATTCATCCTCACTAGAATCTCGATCAATGATCTGATGAAGAATATCATGCACAGAGAGCTTCTTCGCCATTGTGCTGCTACAAAATAAATGACAAGCAAGACACTGTGAATCATTTATATGTGTCTGTGCTATAACATCTATATCTGTAAATTTTCATCTTTTTCTGTGTGAGAACATCTAGTCCCAAAACACAATGTCATAATATTTTGTCTGAAAACTGTGATGAAACAAAGAACATGAAAGATTCTTATGAAACAGGGTCACTGCAGACTAAAGCCAGTTTGCGCGTGTGAGTGTGAGAGTGAATGTCAGATGGATGAATGGATATTAGATGCAGTTCAGGGTAGGATCAAGTTTCTTTCTGTGGAAAAGAATGTGTAATACTCAAAATAGTTTGTGTGTTTTAATGTGCGTGTTTGTTTGGGTAGCGCGTGTATGCATGTATCGACACATGCACAGATCCAAGGGCTCAATGTTTGCAAGCACACATGTACATTTGTGTACATGAAGATGTTCATATTTTATTTAATATTTTCAAAATTATTTATAAATAAGGCTTTTTTTACAAAAGAAAATGAGATGCCTACTCTCAGATAAATGAGGCCTACGATTAATCAGATGCAAATAGAAATATAAAACCAGTACTAATTAAAAGAGAACAAGTTGACAAAAAGATTTAATCCAATATTGGGTGATAATATAGCATAACAAGAGATTTATAAGCTATTTCTTTAAAGGCTGGTCATTTTTTACCAGGAACACCACAAGTGTTATAGGGTTTTGAACACAACACAATGAATAAGTAAACCTAAAAACATAAATTCTGTTATCCTAATTAAGAAATAATTTTCTGTACATTCTTTCTCTTTTCTGCAATTCACTTCTGCTGTAGCTTCTTTCCTTTTAATAAACCTGTTATTGTATAATAATATTGTTGGCTCTGTGACAAATGGTTTGTTGTGTTCCTAGATCTTCAATGCGGATGCCCTCTGTAGCAGAGTTGAGCTGATCATCATCTCTAAGGCACCATCAACCATATGACTAGTAAGTAAAACTAAGCCAAAGACAAATTTCCACTTGTGGACAGTTAAAGGTTCAATACCTAAGATTTTTGCATTCAATTATCTCAAAATCACAAGGCCAGTGTTATATATTTAGTTAAGGTGATAACTTACAATATTCCAAATGTTTCAAACAATGTTTAAATCGCGAGAAAATTGAGATTTTAACCAAGGAAACGGGGTGTGTGAGCAGGGGTGAGCTGGGAGTCGCCAGTCAATCGCGTCATATCCGCGTTACCCTCGGTTTCCGCTCGTACTGCGTGGAGTCCTGGACAAATGCGGAAGTTGTTTTCAGTTCCCGTCTGATGCCCTGTCCCAAATGGAACCCTAAGCACTCGCGGTCTTCCTCTGAGTCCGCACTTTCGCGACGTAACGCCGCTTTGAATGTCGGGAAGAAGTCTGCTGTGGAGTCCGCATCAGCGCGGGCTCGGCAAAAGTGCGCATCAAGGGCGCAAATCGACCGCAGAGGGGGCGCTCGCGAGCACCCTTCTGAGATCTAAAAATGACAAATGGGACACACTACGGTCTCACGGACTTAACGGACACGCGCACGCGGCAGCCATTGTAAGTCCACAAGACCGAAAGTGCACATGAAGTGTGCCATTTGGGACAGGGCCTGACTGATTTATCCACGGTGGACTTGAAAACAACAGTTCCCATCATTCCACGCTCCTTCACGTCGTCATCAAGCAAAGCCGTTGTTGTTGTTTTGAATGTAGCGCCCTCTAGCGGCATAAAATCTTAGGTATTGTACCTTTAAGGAACTAAACTAAAACTTCAAATATACACTAATGTTAAACACACTAATGTTGTTGGTACAATTTTTTTATGTGTTGAAAGAAGTCTCTTATGCTCACCAAGACTGCATTTATTTAATTAAAAATACAGTAAAAACAATAATATTGTGAAATAATATTAAAACATTTAAATAATTGTTGAAATCAGTTGTGCTGCTTAATTTTTTGTGTTTTTCAGGATTATTTGATGAATAGAAAGAAAAAAGCAACATTTATTTGAAACAGAAATCTTTACTCTCTCTTCTGGTCAATTTAATGCATCCTTGCTGAATAAAAATATGAATTTATTTATTTTTTTAAATTCTATTGAACCCAAACTTTTGAACAGTAGTGTAAACTACCATTTACATATGTTGGGTCTATTTAACACAATCCTAATTTAAAGGAGCTGTATGTATGATTGTGGCCAAAACTAGTACTGCAATCACTGTCAAATTGCTGTAGAGTGGTGTATCCCCTCCCCCTCCTCCCTGACTCGAGGTTGCCAGATCGGCTGCAGGATCCAGCAGGAATGTGACGAGCTGCAGCTGTGGTAACTAGAGCAGAGCTGGCAACCCGGATGCCGCAACACTACTGACTTCGTGATTGGTAGATAGGTGGAGGGTGGAGCATCAGACCAAAACACAACATGACAACATCAACATCAGTTGAGGGCTGCAACTGCACTTTTTAAATGACAATATCCTGGCCGGACTACTGTTGTCAGTGATATAAGTATTTGAAATCTACATGATTTCTTAATGTCTAGTGACATTTCAGGGCCATTTTATGATTAATTTAAATAAATTTCTTACATACAGCTCCTTTAAATCTAGATTAAAGACACATCTCTTTATCCAAGCATTCAATTAACACATCTCATAATCTTGCACTAC